TGGCTTCAGTGGCCAGGCTGGCCTTCAGTCAGGTCTCCCTCAGGGGTGGCAGAGGCCTGGGGACCTGGGCCGTCATTTGCTGCATTCCCAAGGCACGTTAGGTTAGCTGGGAGCTGGACTGGAAGTGGAGCAGCTGGGACACAAACCAGCATTCCAGGATGCTGAGCAACGTAACCCCACACACTGGGCCCTGGTTTTTCTTTATTTTCTGTGTGAATTTAGGTAAATCAGGGTACTTCTGAGTGTGCTTTCTTCAGCTTGTAAGAACTCTGATGGTTTTGATTTGTTTTTTTCTTTGTTTAAGATTATTGGAAAGATAGAGCCCTGTGCAGTAGCGTAGCTGCTAAAGTCTTCACCTTGCGTGCGCTGGGATCTCATATGGGTGCGAGTTCTAAACCCAGCAGACATGCTTCCCATCCAGCTCCTTGCTTATGGCCCAGGAAAGCAATAGCGGACGGCCCAAAGCCTTGGGACCCTGCACCTGCCTGGGAGACCTGGAACAGGCTCTGGGCTCCTGGCTTCGGATCAGCTCAGCTCCAGCTGTTGCAGCCACTTGGGGAGTTATCAACAGATGGAAGATTTTCCTCTCTGTATATCTGACTTTACAATAAAAACAAGTCTTTGAAAAAAAACAAAAGGTTGTTGAAAAGGCAGATTTAGAGAGAGAAAAATCTTACATTCACTGGTTCATTCCCTAAGTGTCTGCTGTAGCCAGAGTTGAACCAACCAAAAACAGGGGATTCCTCCAGGTCTCCCATGTGGGTGCAGGCTCCCAGTGCATTCCAGGCTTTCTCAGGCTACAAGCAGGGAGCTGGATGGGAAGTGGAGCAGTCAGGACATATAAGGATGCTGGCGGAGCAAGGCACAGGATTAGCCAGTGGAGCAATTGCACTGCCCCGAGGGCTCAAAGGGTTATGCAGATGAGAGATGCGTTGGTGAATGAGCAGTGCCCACTGCAGGACTCACACATTAGGAGTGAGGTTGCTATGGCAGTCAAGGGTGAAAATCAGCCAGGGCATGATTAGCTTAGAGTGGGGAGGGGACCAGGGAGGTGACTCAGACCCGCAGAGGTTCTTGCAGTAGGACCCAGGATGGCAGAGGGCAGAGTGGCCTGGTGGGTCTGGCAGGAAGACTTCCAGGAGAGAAGGGAGGATGTGGCATCAGGCTAAGGAATGTGGGGGAGTCCTCCCTCTCAGGGGGGCCCCTGAGGAGTCTTAGCAGGCAAGCAGCTTGTTTCCAGCCTTGTCTTTAGGAAAATCCTGGGTTTTTTAAAAGGGGGCTTTGGGAGCCGCGGTTAAGATGCTGTTTTTTTTTTTTTTTTTTTAAAGATTTATTTATTCTGTTCTTATTGGAAAGGCAGATTTACACAGAGAAGGAGAGGCAGAAAGGAAGATCTTCCATTTGCTGGTTCACTCCCCAAGTGGCCACATTGGCCGGAAGTGCACCAATCAGGAGTGTCCTCCAGGTCTCCCACTCGGTGCAGGGTCCCAAGGCTTTGGGCCATCCTCGACTGCTTTCTACCCAACAGGCAGGGAGCTGAAAGGGAAGTGGGACAGCGGGATTAGAACCATCCCGCATATAGGATCCTGGCGCATTCAATGCAAGGACTTTAGCCAGTAGGCTACCATGCTGGCTTTGAAGAGGTCATTTTTAAAATTTTCATTTTCATGTTTTGAAGTATTTAATTTAGAGAAAGAGAAGGGGCAAATAGTTCCACTGCTCTGGTTTATTCCTCAGATGGCAAGGTTGAAGCCAGAAGCTAGGGATCGAGGCTGTCTCGCAGCAGGACCCCTGTCACTTGCACGCCCACCCCGCCTCCCTGCATTAGGAATCTGGCACCAGGAGGCAGAGCTGGGAAACTTAAGTATTCCAGTGTGAGACCCAGGCGTCCTGTACTGACATCTTAATTGCTGGGCTAAACACTTGTCCCCGGAAGAACAATCACTCTTTATTTCTCTTTCTCCTCCCTCATGCCTCAGTCTAATCCACCAGCTGCCCAGAACGCTTTCTCCCAAGTAGGTCTGTTTTGTCTGCTTTGCCCTGCTGTGTCAGACCCAGTCGCTTGTCTGTAGCAGCCTCCTAACCCGTCTGGCTGCTTTACTTTCCAGTGCATCCCATTTTCTTCTTAGAAAACTGGAGGGGTTTTAGTCATGCAAATCCAATGAGGATCTTCTGGCTTCCCTCCTGGTCCCTCCCCGAGCCTTGCATGGTCCAACCCTGCATGCTGTGTCCAGCTCTAGTCCTACTGGCCTGGACATGTTGCCCTGCTCACTGAAACACTTGGCTCCTGGTCTCCTTGGCTGGTTTCCTTAATGTCACCTCCCTGCCACCAGCTCCACCATCACTCCTGCCTCCATTCTCTCAGCGGCCCCCACACCTTGTTCCTGGTCTCTGTGTTTAGTGCTGTGGAATACATGTAGCGATATTTGCCGGTTTAACAACATTTTAGTATACAGTTGCGTGGCAGTGAGTACCTCTACTTTGTGCCAGCCCGGGCTGCCCTCTGTTGTAATGTCTTGCTTGGCCCCTGGCAGCCACACTGCACCTCTGTGATTGTTTTGTTTCTTTTTCTTTCCTCCTGGACCACAAGTTTCAGGAGCCAGGGAGAGGGTTAGTCTTTCTTTTCCTTCCTACACCTTCTGGCCCAAAGCCCATCGGGGTGATGTGTGCTCAGTGTGTGTGCAAGGGACACATGAACATAGGCTGCCGTGTGTCAGTCTCGGTGACAGTCCCACCCTCCTAGAATACGGCAGCTGTCAGCCATGCTCACAAAAGCAGGGATAAGAAGTTACAGCTCTGGAAGAGGAGTCTAGGTCCCTGTAGGTCAAAGAACTTGCATTTTTAGTGTGAAAAGACAGCTGGAAGAGGAGGAGCCCCACCCTGAGAGCAATAAAAGTTGATGATGCAGTGCAGTGCCGCCAGCTCATCAAGGTCAAGGCTGGCCAGGCACCACCTGCACAGGCCTGGCAGGATCCTAGGTTGTGAGGGCATCCTGCCTTGAATGCCTGGATCTCCTGCCCTGGGTAACCTGCAGATGAGTGCCAGGCCCTTGTGTGATACCATGGAGTGGAAAGCTGGGGGCCTGCCGCAAGGAAGGAATAAGGGAAAGGGTACTAGTTTGGCCTGCAGCTGGGAGTGAGCAGAATCTTGGGCTGGGGGCCCTGCAATAGAAGAGGGGTGGGTTACATTAGATCACTGGTCCCCAAGTAATGGGGTCCTAGATGTGGTGACACCAGCGATAACGTGACACTTGCTAGGTCAGTACTTCCACATGCGAGCCTTCACATCATGGCTAAGTGGAATATTCTCATGTTACTGAGAAGGACAGTGATGGGAAATTCCTATGACTGTAATGCCAAATAGATAGGAAGGGGCTGATTTCAGTGGATGGCATCACTGCTTCGGTGTGGCAACAGCTGCCAGGTGCCCCCGTCGCCACCCTTCCAGCAGGTTTGTAGTCCAGAGAGCAGGAGCCCTGGGCTCGCACAGCTAATGAGACAGAGGAGCAGCAGAGGGTGCCTTCCAGAATGCCGTCTGTGGGAGCACAGCCCTGGGTAGACCCCAGTCCTGGGGAGGAGATGGCAGCAGTGACAGGGAAGGGACAAGGCCAACCCACCTTGTCACCACTGGGTGGCTTCCTTCCCCCATTTGCCGTATGAGTGCAAATGTGTATATGGTTTTGTACAGAAGACTTATTTATTTTATATATATATATATTTAAAATATTTATTTATTTTTATTGGAAAGTCAGATATACAGAAAGGAGTAGAGACAGAGAGGAAAATCTTCCGTCCAATGGTTCACTCCCCAAGTGGCTGCAACAGCTGGAGCTGCGCTGATCAGGAGCCTGGAGTGTCTTCCAGGTCTCCCACGTGGATGCAGGGTCCCAAGGCTTTAGGCTGTCCACGACTGCCCTCCCAGGTCACAAACTGGGAGCCAGATAGGAAGTGGGGCCACTGAGATTAGAACTGGTACCCATATTGGAGCCTGGTGCGTGCAAGGTGAGGACCCTAGCCGCTAGACTACTGCGCCAGGCCCTACTTAATATATGTAAAAATTTTTATTTAAAAGAGTAATCCAAAGAAAAAATGAGATCTTTCATCTTAACTTCCTAAAGGCTCGTGGAAACCAGGAGCCAAGAATTCCAGCTGGGTCGTCCTCACAGGTAGCAGGACCCAAAGTACTTGGGCCAGCATTGAGTGCCTCCCAGGTACATTAACAAACAGCTGGATCCAAAGTATAGACAGCTGACACTGTTGCAATTGGTGAAGCTGCCACTTGCAGTGCCGGCATCCCATAATCACAGCAGCTTGAGGCCTGACTGCTCCACTTCCGTTCCAGCTCTGTGTGCTGTGCCTGGGGAAGCCGCAGGGAACCACCAACTTACTGCTTGGGACCCTGCACCCATGTGTGAGACTCAGATTGATTTTCGGATTCCTGGCTTTGGCCTGGCACAGCCCTGGTGGTTGTGATCATTTGGGAAGTGATCCACTGGATAGAAGATCTCTTTCTCTGTCACTCTACCATTTAATGATTTGTTTATTTTTATTGGAAAGGCAAATGAGGTTTACAAGAGAGGCAGAAAGACCTTCCATCCGCTGGTTCACTCCCCAAGTGGCGTCAGTGGCCGGAGCTGAGTCCATCTGAAGCCAAGAGCCAGGAACTTCTGGGTTTCACACGTGGGTGCAGGGTCCCAAGGCTTTTTTGGGCCATCCTTGACTGGGAAGTGGAGCAGCCAGGGCATGAACTGGGCCCCATAATCTTCATTTTCATTGTCAGTGTTGGATGTATTTTTTTCTACACATTTTTCTTGGCTGCATGTCTTTTGATGTGTTTATATAGTATTCCCCCCAGAAAAATGGGGTGGTTTGTGATTCTGTTCTTGGATGGCATTTGAAAAGCGGAACCCCCCATGCATTCTTGGAGGGCTTGGTAAAGGCTGCCTAACTTATGCAGGAAGTGTTTGCCATTACTGACACGGAGCCCGTTTGGGTTTTCAGGACAAGAAGATGCCGCCCAAGCGCATGGCCAAGAGAAGGTCACCCCCAGAAGATGCCATCCCCAAAAGCAAGAAAGTGAAGGGTGAGTTGGTCTTGGCTTCTCTCCAGGCGTGGGCAGCTTCATGGAGGCCTGGGAGTCCAGGACTGGACTCTGGCCTTGGTGACTCCAGGTCGAGGGCCTTGTGTGTCAAGGGCCCCACCAGAGGGAATCCCATCTCCAGAATCTTCTGTTGAAGAGACAGACCCTTGTGTAAGGAGTCAGGCAGTGAGGCAGCGGGGTTAGGACCCTTGGCTCTGAGACATGGGTTCAAGTCCTTTCTCTTCCACTTTAGCCCCGGGAACCCCTCTTAGCTTTGCCAAGCATGGCTTTATTCGCCTCCTGAAACGGCTTCTCTGGGAGCACAACGACAGTGATTGAGGGAGGTGACAGTACCCCTCCCCCTCTGGGGACCCTCCACGGGGCGGGAGGAGAGAGTACCAGCCCTGGTCTGGGAGGGAGGAGTGTGTGTCCCCCCCCCCACTCAGACAGTGTCTGTCTTTTACAGACTCCCGTAACCAGGCGGTGAGAGCTGCAGCCTCCCGCCATGTTCCTGGCGCCCACTCCGGCCAAGGTGCTTGCAGGCCGAGCCCTCCTGACCAGAAAACCCGACCAGGTGGCTTCCGCCCAATGTGCCCTGCACCCAGCCTGGTCATGCCCCCCAGCGTTGGGGCTTAGTGCCATGGGCAGTCCAGGGCCAGCAGAGTGCCCTGTGCTACCCACTGGTGGGCACGGTCCACTGCGTAGATGCCTCTGTAGACACTGCCTCCCGCCCCTGCCTCCTCATCTAACTGTTTGCAGCCAGACAAGGGCGGAAGGGGTCAGTTTCTTCTGCAAATGTCCAGGAGCTGGAATTCACAACTCCAGGGATAGAGGAGGGCTCAGATGGAGGCTGGGCATGCTGGTCTGGGCTTCAGGCTCCTTGCTTTTGGCTCAGACCCTGGCCCTGGCTTATAATGTTAGGACCCTGGAAGGTGGTCAGGCCTGTCAGGGAGAGGTCCTAATTCCTTGCCTGCAATGCAAGACCTTCAGGGAGCATCCGCAGAGGAATTGAGGAGGTGGCCAGGCAGGAGGGAAGCACAGAATAGCCAGGACTGAGACCCGGCACTCCAGCCTGGGGCTGGGCTGGCCCAGACAGCAGTTCAGCTTGCTGTGTGCAGACTGGGGTCTGCTTCCTACACATGGGTCCAGTTGCATTTATTATTTTTGTTGGTTTGTTTCCTTTTTTGATACCTATTTATTTGGACAGCAGAGTTAGAGAGAGAATCTTTTATCTGCTGATTGACTCCCCAAATGACCATGGAGGCTGTGGCTGCTGAAGTATTCCTCCAGGTCTCTCACATGGGTGAAGGGGCCCAGAGACTTGGGGCATTCTCTGCTGCTTTCCCAGGTGTCTTAGCAGAGAGCTGGATCGGAAATGGAGCAGTCAGTACTCCAGCCAGTACCCACAGGGGGTGCCAGCATCACAGGCAGCACTTAACTTGCTGCATCACAGTGCCACCCTTGTTCAGGTTTGATTTTTTTGTTCGATTTTTTTGTTTTGTTTTGTTTGAACATTTATTTATTTATTTAAAGGAGTTGCAAAGAAAGAAGGACTGAGAGATCTTCAATCTGCTGTTTACTCTGCAGATGGCTACAATGGCCAGGGCTGGGTCCGTCAACAACCAGGAACCAGGAGCTTCTTCTGATTCCCCTCAGTAGGGTGGCAGGGCCCCGAGAATGGGAGCCATGTTTTGCTGCTTTTCCTAGGCCACAATCAGAGAGCTGGATCAGGAGCACAGCGTTTGGGACTCAAGCCAGTGTCCCTGCGGGATGCCGGCACTGCAGGCAGCAGCTTTACGCACATGGCACAGTGTCAACCCTTCTTTTTCAGTTTTTAATCTTCACAAAAACCCTGCAAGGCAGGTATACCCATCAGCTCCCTCCCAGGCTAGGGAATGTAGACTGGAAAAAGTCCTAGGGTTTGGTCCATGGCCGAGCAGGGGCTGGAACCCCGTGGAATGACCCCACCTGCCATCATCCTGCACACTCAGGAGTTGTTTTCTTCACCCCTCAGTCTCACACAGGTCCCACAGAACAGAAGCAGGCTTGGTGCTGACACTGGGCCAAGGCGACGTGGGCCAGCTAGGGCTGGGTGAGAGTGTGATGGAAAGAAAGAAGCCAGCCCTGGTACCCATTCCAGAGGAAGTTGTGCAGGCCGAGGCCGGTGGCATGCATACTGTTTGCCTAAGCAAGAGTGGCCAGGTAAGTGTGGGACTGGCACAGAGCCGGGCAGTGCCTGGGGTTTGTGGGCATGGGGAAGACCTATGTGCCTCATACATTTCCCTATGGAAACGGGGCGGGGGGCACCAAGCGGGGCTGCTTCCAGAACAGCAGACTGTGAGGCCAGACCTTACACTAATGGTTGACTTCCTGGGTGCAGGTCTACTCCTTCGGCTGCAATGATGAGGGCGCCCTGGGAAGGGACACGTCTGCGGAGGGCTCAGAAACAGTGCCCGGGAAGGTGGAGCTGCAAGAGAAGGTGGTGCAAGTGTCCGCCGGAGACAGCCACACAGCAGCCCTCACCGAGGATGGCCGCGTCTTCCTGTGGGGATCCTTCCGGGTAAGGCTGGCTGGCTGGCTGGCTGGCAGAGTCTGCTCTGGGGCAGGCCCCCCGGGAACCTGCCTCTGCCCCGGCTGCATTTTCCATTGGGCCCAGAAAGGGCCACAGGCGGCACAGGGCTCAGGTGGTGCTCTGGGGAAGGGGGACCCCAGCCTGTCTGGGCTAAGGCTGCTGTCAGAAGCTGCTGTGTTTCTCCCCTTCCTCCCTCCCACCCAGTCGTCCACTCTGCTCGGTGAAAGGTGTGCAGGTGGGGGCTCACGCATATCAGAGCTTCCACACTGGGGAGTTGAGCTTCAAGTCAGATTCAGCATTAAGAGTCCTCTGGTACTTTGGGATTTGATGTATATTGACTGTCAAAAGCAAATTATTCTGATAGGGCATTTCCCCATCAGGGCTGGTTTTTACTTGTTAGGGAGAATTTCAGAAAACATAAAAACAGAATAATGTCAGACCCGGCGGTGTGGCCTAGTGGCTAAAGTCCTCGCCTTGAATGCCCCAGGATCCCATATGGGTGCCGGTTCTAATCCCGGCAGCCCCACTTCCCATCCAGCTCCCTGCTTATGGCCTGGGAAAGCAGTCGAGGACAGCCCAAAGCCTTGGGACTCTGCACCCACGTGGGAGACCTGGAGGAAGTTCCCGGTTCCAACTTCGGATTGGTGCAGCATTGGCCGTTGCGCTCACTTGGGGAGTGAACTATTGGACGGAAGATCTTCCTCTCTGTTTCTCCTCCTCTCTGTATATCCGATTTTGTAATAAAAACAAAATCTTTAAAAAAAAAAAAAAAAAAACTATATTTAAAACAAAAGAGAATAATGTCTTGAGCCCTTGCCCGCCTGCCACTCAGCCTCAGCTGTGACATACTGATAGCTTGGCCTGTTTGTCCCTGTGAGGGATCTTCCAAAACTACATAGAACATAGTTACCTAAAGGGAGATCTTCTATCTGCTGGTTCACTCCTCAAATGGCTACAATAGCCAGGGCTGCACCAGGCCCCGTGGGGGGCTGGCAGGGACCCAGACATTTAATCAGTCCTCCACTGCTCTTCCCAGGCCATTAGGAGGGAACGGGTTTGGAAGTGGAATAACCAAGATTTCAAATCTGCACCCTTAGGGAATGCTGGTGCCATAGGTGGAGGCTTAGCTGGCTAAGCCATGCCTGGCACCCATCTGCTCCCGAGAAAGATGTCATTGACAGTATTTCAGTCCTGTTCCCACCTGCCACTTCATCCCCATATGCTTCCATTTGCTGCCTTCACTGGACAGTTCTCTTCTGCCTGCCAGCTTGGGCCTGGCTGGTAAGCACCTGTGTCCCTCCCTCCAGGACAACAATGGTGTGATTGGGCTGCTGGAGCCCATGAAGAAGAGCATGGTGCCCGTGCAGGTGCAGCTGGATGCTCCTGTGGTGAAGGTGGCTTCAGGTGAGTTGGGCCGTAGATCACTCTGGGCAGGAGCTAGAGAACCCTGCTCTGGGTCTGGCAGACAAGCCCTGCATCCCCCTTCTTCCTCTCGGCCTCAGGAAATGACCATTTGGTGATGCTGACGACCGACGGCGACCTCTATACCTTGGGCTGCGGGGAGCAAGGCCAGCTGGGTCGTGTGCCTGAGTTATTTGCCAACCGTGGTGGCCGGCAGGGTCTGGGTAAGTGTCTCACCCTTGTGTTTAACAGGGCAACTTTGCCACCTGGTCTCTGTCCTGGGCAGGCCAAAGGCAGCAGGGGCTATGCATTTAGGCGGATGGCAAACCTGCAGTGTTGCCTAGTTCTGCCTGCTTTCGGCTGGGCGGCCCTGGCTGGAGCTTGCTTGTTTCTGAACCTGCCTGCTGCTCACGTCACATCCCTGGGTTGTGCTCAGGAGAAGGATCACTGACACACAGCATATTCCATGTAAACGTTAACCTCTGACAAGTGTGGCAATCAGGGCCAGGCACCTGTCACTTTCGGCCTCAATTTGCTGTCTTTGAAATGCAATCGGGATGCATTGTTAGCATCTCTCCGAGGGTTTCGGTAAGGAAGCAGAAGCCGACTCGGGGAGCAAGGAGAGGGTGCTAGTCTGTAACTAACTCTGGCTTCCTGTGTCTGCAGAGCGACTCCTGGTCCCCAAGTGTGTGCTGCTGAAATCCAGGGGAACCCGGGGCCACGTGAGATTCCAGGATGCCTTCTGTGGTGCCTATTTCACCTTCGCCATCTCCCGAGAGGGCCACGTGTATGGCTTCGGCCTTTCCAACTACCATCAGCTTGGTGAGTGCCGAGGCCAGCGTCAGACGTGACTCCAGTGTCCGGCTTCCCAGTCCTGGCTGTAATGCCTGTCACCTGTGTGTGCCCTTTGACCTGGAGAGAAGGACCACCTTGTGGGAGGGGACCAGGAAGGAGGGCTTCACCACAATGGTTCTCCTGGCCTTTCCCCAGGAACCCAAGGCACAGAGTCCTGCTTCATACCCCAGAACTTGACAGCCTTCAAGAACTCCACCAAGTCCTGGGTGGGCTTCTCAGGGGGTCAGCACCACACGGTCTGCATGGACTCTGAAGGTAGGCCTTCTGCAGCCCTCTCTGAATGGGCGTTGGTGGGGGGCGCCATACTCCTTGGAACCTGGGTCTACTCCATGGGTTGGGCCCCATGTTGGTCTGGTCCATGAAGGGAGATTCTGCCCTCAGAATCTGAGTGCGAGTCTTTGGTGGGCACTTACAACTTGGGAGCACATGGGCTGGACCTCCTCACTGCCCTGGGAGCAGGGCCAGGCTCCCATATCCCCCTGGCCTGCTACTCTTGTTGCCTGGAGTGTTGCTCTCTGCCACTGCCCACATGTCTCTCCTGCCCTAGGAAAAGCATACAGCCTGGGCCGGGCTGAATATGGGCGACTGGGCCTGGGTGAGGGTGCCGAAGAGAAGAGCGTCCCCACCCTCATCTCCAAGCTGCCTGCTGTCACCTCCGTGGCCTGTGGGGCCTCTGTGGGCTATGCTGTGACCAAGGATGGTGAGTGGAGTCACCTGGGCTCGGGCTGCAGGAATAAGGCTGGAGACAGCACCGGTTTGCTCCTAATTCTCGGGCATGGCTGAGCACAAAAGGAGTAAAGAAGTCACTGTAATAAGGGTGTCTGTCTTACAGAGGGGGAAAACCCGCACAGGCAGAGGTGTCGCTGAAGCCGAGAGGCGGTGAGGCCAACAGCTAGCCTCCCCACTCTGCTGCCCCAGGGCTCTCCTTTCTGCATCCAGTGACCCCTCATGTGCCACCCAGCATGTGCCAGCTTCCCTGAACCTGCTGCTTGGTATCTTCTTGGGGGAAAACGTCTTAGCAGCCAAGGGGCCTGGCAGGCCCAGCAGCAGGGATGGGGACAAGTGGCCACAACAGGCGCGAGTCCCATGACACCTACACCACCCCCGGCCTTGAAGACAAGCCAGGGTGCAGGTCCTAGGAGTGAAAGGCCATGCAGAGACCTGGGAACAGCTAGCTGTGTGTGAGACCAGAGGTGCTATGCTAGGGCTGCCTGACAGGCTGAGGTCTTGGGCATTGGGGAAGGCCTGTGGTCTCACAGTGTCCATTTGCTGGGCTTCTCCCACTTCACTGAACCCCCAGAGGCTGGGCCTCACTGCCAGTGGCCAGGGCCAGATGTCCCAGACCTCATGAAGTGGGAAGTGGGACTGGAGACCCTGGAGACAGCTGCCCCTGTTTCCTTTCCCTGCAGGTCGTGTCTTTGCCTGGGGCATGGGCACCAACTACCAGCTGGGCACAGGGGAGGACGAGGACGCCTGGAGCCCCGTGGAGATGACAGGAAAGCAGCTGGAGAACCGTGTAGTGTTGTCTGTGTCCAGCGGTGGCCAGCACACAGTCTTGTTAGTCAAGGACAAGGAACAGAGCTGATGAAGCCTCTGGGGGCTGGCCTGGCCCTCGCCCACCCTCGTGGAACAGACGCGGTGACAACTCCAGATCCCAGCAGGCCCCTCCCCAGCCCTGAGCACTGTTATCGCCTGCCATTTCCCCATCAGCAGAACAGAATCCTTTTTCTCTTCTTCCTTCTTTCTGGAATCATCCTGGGACCTGCAGGATGAAGGGGAAGGATGGAGGGGCAGTGTGGGGCAGAAGGAACATTTGCTCAACCCAGAACCATGTGGTTACACTATCCCCTAGCTCCTGTGGTCTTGGTTGGCCCTGGCTTGCCTACCAGGAAACCAAAACTCCCTCCCCCGGAGTTTAGCGCCATCCTCCTGTCCTGTGCCGCTCTTGCTGACCCCATCAGTCACAGGCAAAGGGTTTAGTCATCAGCTGCAGCTGGCCTGGGCCTCGGGATGTACGAAGGGGCAGGGCAGCACAGCTGTGGGCAGTACCACGCCATATGCACAGGTCTGAATGGCATGTGAGCGGCTCTGTTAATGGGACAGGAAGGATGACAGCTCTCCACCTGACCAAGAAACAAGCTGGCTAGGGGTTCTCCTAGAAGCACAAAGCCCACCCTGGCCCTCAGGCATTGCCTGGGTATCCCACCCATCCATTGGGCCTCACCTGGAGCCCAGAATCGATACCCGGATGAGAAGGACGGCAGAGGGTCAAGGGTTCATGGAGGATGTTATAACAAACAGCAGTAATACTGAGCAGGGATGGGGTGAAGAAGAGGGTTGGAGAGGGGCAGAGGCTGGGCCTCAAGAAAAGAAAGCAGCTTGTACAGTGGCTGAGAAAATAGTTTTGATTTTTTTTAAATTATAAAATATTTTGGAGGGGAGAGTGAAATCTTTTAACACTTTGAATAAATTTAGAGTTTTATAAAATTGGGCTGCTTGTTTTCTGCATATTCCTGTTTCTTCGGGGAGCACCTGCCATGTGAGGCACTGTTGGCATGGGCAGGGTAGATCCAGGCCTGTGACCTGGTCAGGGCGGCAGCCCAAGTGTGTGGATGTGTACACAGATATCCCATCGGGAAAGCAGAAAACAATTTTGAGTTTTGTTTGGGTGTTTGTTTCTGAGAATCTGGGTTTTTAAAAAAATTGACCTGGGCCCAGCGGTGTGGTCTAGCGGCTAAAGTCCTCGCCTTGAATGTGCCAAGATCCCATATGGATGCGGCTCCACTTCCCATCCAGCTCCCTACTTGTGGCCTGGGAAAGCAGTCGAGGAAGGCCCAAAGCCTTGGGACTCTGCACCCACGTGGGAGACCTGGAAGAAGTTCCTGGCTCCTGGCTTCAGACTGGCGCAGCACCGGCCATTGCGCTCACTTGGGGAGTGAATCATGGGACAGTGAATCTCTCGGTCTCTCTGTACATCTGACTTTCCAATAATAATAAAATAAATCTAAAAAAATGGTCCTGGGCCCGGTGCGATGGCACAGTGGTTAAGTCCTCGCCTCGCACGCCTGGGATCCCATATGGGCACCGGTTCTAGTCCCGGCAGCCCCGCTTCCCTTCCAGCTCCCTGCCTGTGACCTGGGAAAGCAGTCGAGGACGGCCCAAAGCTTTGGGACCCTGCACCCATGTGGGAGACCCGGAAGAGGCTCCTGGCTTCGGACCGGTATAGCATTGGCCGTTATGGTCACTTGGGAAATGACTCATCGGACGGAAGATCTTCCGTAAATAAAAAATAAATCTTTTGAAAAAAAATGGTCCTGCATAATACAAGATAAACGGGGAAAAATATTTTTAAAGATTTTTTTTATTTTCATTGGAAAGTCAGATATACAGAGAGGAGAAGAGACAGAAAGGAAGATCTTCCGTCCAGTGGTTCACTCCCCAAGCGAGTGCAACAGCTGGAGCTGAGCCAAGCTGAAAGGAGCCAGGAGCTTCTTCGGGTCTCCCACACGGGTGCAGGTCCCAAGGCTTTGGGCCATCCTTCCCATGCCACAGGCAGGGAGCTGGATGGGAAGCAGGTCTGCCAGGATTAGAACTGGAGCCCATATGGGATCCCTGCGTGTGCCCCTGGGAAGGATCTTTAATGTCCTGACCTGGAGCCCAAATTTTTGAGATGAGTGCACCCTAGAAATGCCCCGAGCTGCTTGTAGAGCTTCCGAGAGCTGCTGACGTGCCCTTTACAGTGCCCACCAGCTACATGCAGCTCTACAGTTAAGTCCACTGAGGAAGTTTCTTTAGTTGTAGGCACCTTGCTTTGAGTGCTTGGGCATCGCATGTAGTTACACCAGAGGGTCGAACCAGCAAAAATAGAACTTAATGGGGCCAGCATTCGGAGCATTAGTTTAAACTTCCAGCAACAGCATCCTTTATCAGAGCGCTGGTTTGAGTCCCAACTGTAACTTCCCATCCAGCTCCCTGTTAATGTGCCAGGGAAGAAAAAAATCAGTTACAGTGACAGCCTGCAAACTACCCTTCTGGAGAATGACTGGATGCCAGGCAAGGGACTGGGTGCTTTCTCTACTTGCTGTAATTTTTCTCCCTTTACAGCTCAGAGGAAAGCGCTGTTGTCCAGTGAGCCTGGGGTTAAGTAGCTGCCAACCAGTCAGTTGTGACTCCACAACCAGGCTGCCTCGCCACTCACTGCAGTGGAATAGACTGACAGTTCGGATCTCAAGGTTGCCGGTTTCTGGTTTGGAGGCAAAACATCTGGAGCTCAGGGTGTGAAAGATGGGGAGGCAGGACCTGAGGGGGTCCCTCAGCTCCGGGGACGCTCCCCCAAAGGGCTGGGGGGCTCCTGGAGGTTCTCTTCAGGTCAGAGAGATGCCGGGGCGGGCTCTGGTACATGGCAAAGCAAGTTTCCATATGCTGAGCCGTGGACGCCAGTTCGAGTCCTGGCTGCTCCACTGCCCACTGAGCCTCCCGTCACGAGAACCGGGCAGAAGTGTTTCCCACCACAACCCCCGCGTGTCCCTGCGCGGCCCCCCCCCGTGTCCCTCCACGTCCCCCCCACCCCAACCCCGTGTCCCTCCGCGGCCCCCCCCCCCCGTGTCCCTCAGCGGCCCCCTCTCCCGCCCGTGTCCCTCAGCGGCCCCTCTCCCGCCCGTGTCCCTCAGCGGCCCCTCTCCCGCCCGTGTCCCTCAGCGGCCCCTCTCCCGCCCGTGTCCCTCAGCGGCCCCGCGGCTTCCGCCGGCCTGGCCACTCCGTTCCGACCCCTCCCGCTGGGACCCGGAAGCCCCGCGGGCAGCCGGGTCACCGGGCAAACCCGGGCCGGAGCAGCGGCCGCGGAGGTCCGGAGCATGCGCGGAAGGGCGTCGGAGGCGGGCGGCGTGGAAGGAGCGAGCGCCCCGATGGCGAGCTGCGCCCGCGCGGGCTTGTGAGGGCCCGGGCCCCGGCGAGGCCCCGGCGATGGCCGCCAGCCTGTGGATGGGAGACGTGAGTGAGCGCGGCCGCGGGGCAGCGACGGAGGAACCTCGGGGTCGCGAGGGAGATCGCGTCTGAGAGGGAGGGGACTCGGGATCCCCATCGCGTAGAGAGGAACAGCAAGAAGGTTCCTTCTGGCGACGGCGGAGGGGCGGGCCGGCCGAGGGGCTTCTCGGAGGGCGAAGGGGGGCGCTGAGGACGAGAGGCCTCGCGGGGATGGCCGAGCTCCGTGGCGTGGAGGTGGAGGTCCGCCCTGCAGTGGCGGAGCCGGGGTGCGGGGAGCCGAGCGGGAGGGAAGAAGCCGGCGCGAGCCGCTCTGCTCTGGTTGGCGCAGCTCGAGCCCTACATGGACGAGAACTTCATCTCCCGAGCCTTCGCCACCATGGGGGAGACCGTGATGAGCGTGAAAATTATCCGCAACCGCCTCACCGGGTATGTTCCCTGCACTTCCTCGTTGCACCGGGAGCCTCGGCCCTGGCCGCTGCTGGGTGATGCTGTGCGGGGTGACACGTGGGGGCTTGGCCAGCGGAGTGGACCCTGTGTGGCTCCCAGACGCGACTCGGTGCCGTGCGCTTGTGGCCTCGTTCCCCGGGACCGTGGAAGTGGGAGTCCTAGTGCTCGTGTCGTGGAGTTAGGATGAGGCTTCACACTCAGGATCTGAAAGCGGGCCAGGCGCCTAGGAACGCTCCAGAAGCAGGAACACGACATGCCCATTTGGGTGATAACGTTTGTAAAACCACAAAGACCTCAGACTTGGAGAAGCTCTATAACTGTTTTAAAGGTTATCAGGCAGCGAAATGACATGCCGGAGTTGGAATTCAGCTCCTGGAAGTCCGGAGCCACAATTATTCAGACAGAACTTGCTGTGTGCTGCCTGGCTGGGATGAAGGCCGCAGTAAGCCAGACAAGATCTCTGCTCCCTGGAACGGCTTACATTGTAGAGGGAGAGAGAGAGACTACATGAGTAAACAGCCCGAAACTCTGCATGTTTCTAGAGAGAAATGCCCTGCTCCCCCCACTTTTCTTCTTTGTTCTTGAGGTCTTAGTTTTCCTAAGGTCTGGTTCCAAAATATGCAAAGCTGAGAAGTGCTCCTGGGAGGCACCAACTCCTCTGTGTGGGTCACTAAGGCATCGGGTGGTTTAGAAAGGGAGATGGGGGCCCGGAGTGGTGACGCAAGTGGTTAAGTGCTCGCCTTGCACGCCCGGCATCCCACATGGGCGCCGGTTCTATCCCGGCAGCCCCGCTTCCCATCCAGCTCCCTGCCTGTGGCTTGGGGAAGCAGTCGAGGACAGCCCAAAGCTTTGGGACCCTGCACCCACGTGGGAGACCCGGAAGAGGCTCCTGGCTTCGGATGGGCATAGCATCGGCCGTTGCGCTCACTTGGGGAGTGAATCATTGGACGGAAGATCTTCCTCTCTGTCTCTCCTCTCTGTATATCCGCCTTTCCAATAAAAACATAATAAAAATAAATCTTTAAAAAAAAATAAAGAAAGGGAGATGAACTTTCTCCAGTGTGACCAAGGATTAGTTTTCTGACTGCTAGGTCATGCCTGCCTAAGCCCCAGCGAATGAGCTACTGACATAAAAATGCCTTCTGCAGCGCCTCCGCTTTGTCAGATGTTAGCATTGTAATCTATATTTACTGAACTAGAGCTACTTACTTCTCTGCAGAATCATATGAAAGTAAATGTACAAGCATTGTGACACTGCAGCCACCAAAAACTGGGCATTCTCCTACATAACACACTGCACATA